GGGGGCCTCTTGGACCGCCTTGAAAGGTGTGAAAGACGAAGAGGCGGATATGTTAAACATGCACGTGTTTCTAAGGGAATGAAACGATTTTTGCTTGTGGGAGCCCTCTTGGGACGCCGCTTAGGGACCTCTTAGGGACCTCTTGGGGCGTCTTGACTGTTGAGGCGTTTGGGAGTGGTATTTCGGCGTCTCCCGGCTCTCTTGGACCGTCTGGAGGGCTTCTCGTGCCCCTCTTGGACCGATTTGGAGCCCTCCTGGGCTCCGAAAAAGAGTTCTTGAGGGTTTCTTGGGCCTTCTTGGAGCGCTCTTGGGCCGTCTTTGAGCGGTCTAGAGGGTCTCTCGGGCCGTCTTGGGGTGATTTTGAGGGCCTCTTGGACCGCCTTGAAAGGTGTGAAAGACGAAGAGGCGGATATGTTAAAAATGCACGCTTTCCTAAGGGAATGGGACGATTTTTGCTTGTGGGAGCCCTCTTGGGGCGCCGCTTAGGGACCTCTTGGGGCGTCTTGAAGGCCTGTTGGGCCGTCTTGAGGCCATCGCAGGCGTCTGGGAGTGATATTGCGAAGGCCTGACGGCCGGTGCCGCCGACCCTGTTCGCAATGCGCAGGAAGAGGCACGGGCTGTGGGATGGTTTGGGGGAACGGGGAGAAGGACGAGAAGGTGGGGGAGGGAGGTGTCGTATCTGACCCGGGACTTCCCCGGGACTCCCCCGGGACCCTCCCCGGGACCTCCTCTCCCCCCCCCGTCGGGGAAGGGAAAGGGAAGGGGCTTCCCTTCGACTCAATGACGACGTTGCTCAAGGTCGGTACGGGGGGGGGGCGTCGTATCTGACTCGGGGGGAGGGTCGCTACCCCCCCCGCTACCCCCCCCCCCTCCCGGCGGGGGAGGAATGAAAGGGAAGGGGCTTCCCTTCGACTCAATTACGAGGTTGCTCAAGGTCGGCTTGGCTGGAGCCCAGGGGAAGAGGAGTCCCAGGGGGGGGCGTCGTATCTGACCCGGGGGGGGGGTCGCTACCCCCCCCCCCCTCCCGGCGGGGGAGGGATCAAAGGGAAGGGGCTTCCCTTCGACTCAATTACGAGGTTGCTCAAGGTCGGCTTGGCTGGAGCCCAGGGGAAGAGGAGTCCCAGGGGGGGGCGTCGTATCTGACCCGGGGGGGGGTCGCTACCCCCCCCCCTCCCGGCGGGGGAGGGATCAAAGGGAAGGGGCTTCCCTTCGACTCAATTACGAGGTTGCTCAAGGTCGGCTTGGCTGGAGCCCAGGGGAAGAGGAGTCCCAGGGGGGGGCGTCGTATCTGACCCGGGGGGGGGGTCGCTACCCCCCCCCCCTCCCGGCGGGGGAGGGATCAAAGGGAAGGGGCTTCCCTTCGACTCAATTACGAGGTTGCTCAAGGTCGGCTTGGCTGGAGCCCAGGGGAAGAGGTCTCCCAGGGAAAGGGAAGGACAGAGACGACGAGTACAAAGAATGACGGAGATGACGGCTCGAACGGAAAAGCCCCTCACACACGCCGACAGGGTCGGCGGATTTCGGCGTCTCCCGGCTCTCTTGGACCGTCTGGAGGGCTTCTCGGGCCTCTCTTGGACCGTTTGGAGCCCTCCTTGCCGGGAGTCTGCCGGGACCTTGCCGGGAGTTTGCCGGGACCTTGCCGGGACTTTGCCCGGGTACTTTTCGTCCGGGGACCCCCAGGGCCCGCCCCGCGCGCGCGAACTAGAAATATTGTTGAGCAGTTACCGGAGATCTTAGCACGCCTCTGGCCCGTTGGGCCGGCGAATTAATATTAATAAGAAGAAGAAAATAATAATACTAAGAAGAATAAGAAGAAGCCGAATAACAATAATATTGTTAATGATAAGAAGAGGAGGGGGATAAGGTTGGGAGTGGAGGAATTGGAGGAGGAGGAGGAGGCGGAGGAGGAGGAGGAGAAGGAGGAGGAAGGGAGGAGGCGGAGTGAGGCCGGAGGAGGAGGAGGAGTAGGAGGAGGAGGAGAAGAAAAGAGGAGAGGAGGAGGAGGAGGAGGAGGAGGAAGAGCGGAAGGAGAGCAGGAGGATAAGGATTGAGGAGGTTGGATTGAGGAGAGGAGGAGGAGATGAGGGAAGGAGGATGAGGGAGAGGGAGGAGGGATGAGAGGGGAGGGAGGAAGGAGGAGGGGAGGAGGGAGTAGGGAGGAGGGAGGCGAGGAAGGCGGGAGGAGGGGGGAGGGAGGAGGGAGGAGGGAGGAGGAGGGAGGAGGGAGGAGGAGGCTGAGGAGGGAGGAGGAGGGATGAGGAGGGAGAGTGAGTGAGGGAGAGGAGGACGAGGACGGAGGAGAGGGAGGAGGGCGGAGGGAGTAGTGAGGAGGAGGAGGGAGAGGGAGGAGGGAGGAGGGAGGAGGAGGGAGGAGGGAGGAGGGAGGAGGGAGGAGGGAGGAAGGAGGAGGGGAGGAAAGGAGGAGGAGGGGAGGAGGAGGAGGAGGAGAGGAGGAGGAGGAGGAGATGAGGAGATGAGGAATGAGGAGGAGGGGAGGAGGAGGGGGACAGGGAGCAGGAGCAGGAGCAGGGAGCAGAAGCGGGAGGAGGAGGAGGAGAGGGAGAAGGAGGAGGAGGAGAGGGAGGAGGAGGCGGCGGAGGGAAGGGGACGGAGGACGGAGACGGAGGACGGAGGACGGAGGACGGAGGACGGAGCGGAGGACGGAGGACGGAGGAGGAGAGGGAGGAGGGAGAGGAGGAGGGAGGAGGGAGGAGGGAGGAGGGAGGAGGTGGCGAGGAAGCGGAGGGAGAGGGAGGAGGGAGAGGGGGGCGGGAGGAGGAGGAGGGAGGGAGGGAGAGGGAGGAGGAGGAGGAGGAGGATGGGGGAGGAGGAGGAGAGGAGGAGAGGAGGAGGAGGAGGAGGAGGAGGAGGAGGAGGAAAAGGGAGGGAGGGGAGGAGGAGGGAGGAGGGAGGAGGGGGGAGGGAGGAGAGGAGAGAGCAGGAGGAGGGAAGAGCCGAGGACGGCCACGACCGTCCCCGCCGTGGATTTGGTTTGTTGTCGCCGCCCCTCGGCCAGGCGGCGCTGGCGCGCCAGAGCGCCGCGGAGCTGCGCGGGTGCCTCGAGGGCGCCGCGGCGCTGGAGCGGGAGCGGGCGCGCCTGCTCGAGCTGGAGGGCGCTCGCCGGCTCGAGGAGGCCCGGCGCCGCCAGCTGGAGGTGCGAGGGTCCCAGCCCGGCGCGACGCGGGCTATTGGGGGCCATGCTCGGAAGTCTTTAAACGTTGTCATTTCCCTCGTCTGCATGCTCCTCCTTTTCCTCGTCATCCTCCCCCTCCTCCTCCTCCTCCTCTTACTCCCGTTTTCCCTCCTCCACCGATCCCCCCTACGCCTCTTTCTTTTTTTTTCCCCCTCCTTCGTCTCCTCCTCCTCCTCCAGGTGGAGGTTAAACAGGCTTCGTGGATTAGTTTTGCTCGTGGCAGCTTCGTCAAAATAGGCTAGCTGGGCGCACAAGCTCACCAAAACCAAGGGGCGGCATTCTATCTTGACTCAGTGGAACGATCGTGATACGATGGCTTCACCTTCCAGAGCTTGTGATCGAGAGATGGCCACCTGGGCCAAGATTTGGCGCTGCCACTGCTCTTCCACCCATCACAGTGGACATGATGAAGGCTGCTATCTATTCTGTCTCGGTTTCGGCGGCGACAGGACCTTGCAAGATTGGAGTTCGTGTCTTTTTCTGCATATTTCAGATGCTGGCCTATATCAGCTGGCTGCTTTATACGAGCGATGTGAGAGTCTTCTTGCTTGGCCCGACGAGCGGCTGTGGCACGAGATGGTGCGCTTGCCAAGGCCTAGCGGTGGTTGTCGGCTCATAGCACCCATGGATGACATGGTACGAGTATGGTCAGGGGTTAAAGCGGCCGTCTCACGCAGCTGGGTTGATGCACGTCCGTGTTCTGATATATGGGGGCTCTGTTCTGGACTCACCTCTTCGGATTCGGCGTTTCATCTGAGCATGGAGGCTGAGGTTGCGGAGTCCTGCGAGCTGCGCTCGCTGACGGTGCTCATGGATGCCTTCAAGTTCGCCGATACCATTATGCCCCAGGCCTTGCTCAATGAGACTCGGGCCGTCGACATGGATCTTCGATTGGTTCGGATGTTGCTGGAGCTTGAACGCCAGCCGAGGAGGCTACGTGCGTTCGGGTCGGTGAGCGATCAGATCGTGGTATGGCAGGGCATTGTTGCGGGCTGCTCGCACGCGTGCTCCTTGGCGTCGGTCTTGCTCTACTGGTTCCTGGCAAGCGTGCGATCCTCCCCAGTTATTCCGAGAACTTTGATCAAAGACATCAGCTTGCAGTGGATTGCGGAGTCGCGGACGCAGCTGGATCACCTTTGGGCTGTAGTTACCACGTTTCGCGAAGTAGCCAGGGGCCTTGGCATCGTTATTCAGGTCGGGAAGTCGGGGCACGCGCCGTCGAGCTCGGTGGCGGCGGTGGCGCGCAAGAAGCACGGCGGCGCCAGGGGCCTGAAGTGCAAGAGTTGGATCCGCAACTTCGGTCACGATACCTGTGGAATGCGCAAATCTCGGCGGCTTACTTCGCAGCGCGTCGCGGGCGTCGTGGCCAGGCGTCGTCGGTGGGAAATGTCCCAGCAGGCCGCGGGCAAGCAGGTCGTTTGCTTGTGGGAGACAGGGTTTTTTACCCAGTGCTGGACATGGACCTGGGGTCTCGGGCCTCTCCGACGTGCGCCTCGCTCAGATGCGCGAGGGAGCCGGGCGCCTCGTGGGACCCCGGCCTGGCTCTTCAAGTCTCACGCTGTACATGGCGACGCAGGAGGCGAAGGAGTTCGACCCGATCTACGTGGCGACATGCGACCATGTTTGCAGATATGCCGCTACGATTTGGGAGCAGAGGACGTCGCTCAGCCAGTTGAACCACGCGTGGGTCCAGATCACGACCAACATGTTGGCGCAGGATAAAACTACGTGGGCATATGCGAGAGGTCCGGTTACGTCTGCGATTCTTACCTTGTGGCGGCTCGATTAGCACGCGTTTTCCTCCGCGATGCCGTTGATAGACATGGGCGAGAAGTTCAACCTGATGCAGATTGGCCCCAAGGACCTGCGGCGCCGTTGGGTGGAGTCGATAGAGAGGCGGCATGGCCGTCGCGTCATGTCGAGGCTCGAGCACCCGATGGGCGAGCATGCGCAGTTGTGGGCAAAGGCCTCGCGGCAGTGCGCTGGCGCTCAGGCGGCGGCCGTGGCGGAGGGGCCTTGGGCATCCAGCTCGAGGGCCCGCTGGCCAGGAGTTTCGCGGGCGCGCCAGGCCAAGTTCGACATGCAGTTGGCAGGAGTTTCTTCTCGTTTGGCGCGCGGGGCGCCGCGTGATGCGCCGGGGCGCGGGTTCTTCGAACGTCGCGAGGCGACGGCGCCTGCGGACGATGTCGAGGTCGCAGGAGAAGTAGCGCCTGCGCCTGAGAAGTCGGTGGAGATCCGCGACTTCGCGCGCGACGAGGGGCTGCAGATGTTCTTCGACGCTTTCGAGGTGGGTGTCTGTCTCCCGCGTTTTCCTCCTTCGTTGCCGAAGGTCACAGCTGGCGCGCCGATCTACTCCTGGGGTGACTGGAGCAGGGCAGAGGAGAATTTCGGCAACGTCGTCTACACCGACGGCTCAGGGCAAGAGGCGCCCATTCCACACATGAGGCGGCGCGGCCGGGCGGTTGCGCAGCTGGCGCGACAGGGCTTGCCATTGCGAGCAGCGCGCGGGCCATTGCGGTCGGCAGGCCCCAACGGCGCGCGCTGCTTGCTGCGGCGAGGCACTTCCGGGCCAACTTGGAGTTCGCGCTCGCAGACCTGCTGGAGCTGGCGTCCGAGTCGGAGTCGCGGGGGCCTAAGCTGTAGAGGGCCGCTGCGGTGCGCGGTGCTGTTTGGCGCTCTTTGACGGCACAAGGGCGACGACCCTTCGTTCACTGCATTCGTGCCCCTCGTTGTCTTGGCGACTGCTTGGGGCGGGGCCTCGGCCCAGCGCACCGCCTGGGCAACGCGTGGGCGGACTGGTTTCCGCGTCGAGGGGCCGACGCAGATGCGCGCCCAAGGTGCGCGAGGAATTCCACGGAGCGGAGCTGGCTTTCGCCGAGAAGGTCGCGCCGTGCATCGGCTGGGCCACGCAGCGAGCGCTGAACATTGGCAAGCGGGGGCCGCCAGTGTCCGACGCGCCGCGACGAGCTGCTCGAGCGCGTCTGCCGCCGGCGCGGGTCACCTCTCATTCGATCGTCAAGCTGCGCGACGGGTCGTCTGTGTGCAGGCGGCTCGCTAGGCGCGCGAGCTGCTGCGCAGCGGCGGCGCGGAACTTCTTCCTGCGCCCTCCGTGCCAGGCGAAACGCCTGGGCGCGCTCCGAGCTGAGGCCGTGATTCAGTTCGGAGGTGGTTCCGGGGTCCTGATTTCTGCTGCCGGTGCGTTTGCAATGGGGGCCTTGCGCAAAGCACCTTGCCCTGCGGATGCTCACGCGTGCAATGTGCATCGTCTCAGGCGAGCAGGGCCGACCATATTTTGCGAGGTGCGCGCGGCTTGGTCCTGAGGCGGAGTCTCCAAGCAGTTGCTGGCCCGATGCGGTGGCGTTCAATTTGGAGAGGGCCGCGGCAAGACCCCCCCCTCCAACGCTTACTCGAGGAGGGAGCGGCTAATGCGAGGCATGCGCCCGAAGGGGAACGCCCGCCTTACGTTGCGAACCCTGGCGTTGTTGCCCGTGGCGGATTGGGCGCTGCACTCCCTGCTAGCCTTGTTGCTCATGAACCTGGCGCTGGTCCAGGGAGTGGTTCTGTGCTCCCTGCTGGCCTTGCTGGGCATGAACCTGGCGCTGGTCCAGGGAGTGGTGCAGGCCATGCCGTGCACGGGCCGTCTGCTGGGACTAATTCGACGGTTGGTGTCTGATCGCTGTCGTTCTTCTGCGCGGAGCTCGCCAGTGGCGCAGCCGTGGGGGGCTTCCTGTGCAGAGCTGTTGCGCACCTTGCTGGATGGCATCGCCTTGGACTGTGTGCGCCTCGACTTCTTGCTGGGTGGCGCGGTCGTGAGCGCGTATGCGTCATTCACCTCGGGTTTCGCGGCTACTGCGGGTCTGGCCTGCTAGGCACGGGCCCGTGGCTGGCGTTGCACGTCGTGCTACTGTGGGTCCGGCCTGTCCAGATGGGGCCCGCTGCCCGCGATGCGCGTGGTGGCCTCCACCGTCGTCTTCGGCTGAGGTTGGACGGGTCCCCTGGGAGCCCCGCCGTGCCGCCGTCTGCCGGGCGTTCCGACGAACGCGCCCTTCGTCTCTCGTCCCTCGTCCCTCCTGCTCCTGTTCCTCCTCCTCCTCCTCCTCCTCCTCCTCCTCCTCCTCCTCCTCCTCCTCCCGTTCCTCCTTTGTTGTCGCCAGTTCGTGTATACGTCTTTTCGCCTCGGGGCTTCTCTCCAGCATCGGCGCTTCGTCGAGAGCGCTCCAGGGGTGCCAGAATCGTCCCCTGACGGCTTCCTGGGGCTTGAGTTGAGGTCAGAAAAACCGACTTCATCGCGTCGCGAGCGAACGCGGCGAGGGAGTGTTTGGCAGTCTGCGGGATCCTGGCGGGGGTTCCAAAGCAAAGGGTCCGACTGGGGGATCGACTACATATTTGATCCACCCCAAACTTCATTTTCACATCGACTCTTCCACAAAAGCACGTCAACCATCCGTAGATCTGCGAAAGTTCTACGACTTGCCCGTGGATCCGACAAGGAAAATCAATTCTGGGGCAAATCAATTCTGTAGTCGATCCCCCACTCGAAGGTTGACTCTGAAGACGCGGTTCGGGATGGGAAGGCGGTCCCGGGGAAGGAGTCCAGACCCCTTGGGGGGTCCGCGTGTGGAAAAAAACGCAGGGTCGGGGGTCGAGATTTTTAGACATCAGACTGTGATTTGTGCAGTTCTGGCGTTGTCTTTCTTTCATGTGGGCCTCTGGGGGCTACCCTCGAGCCCAGGGGCTTTCAACGATGTCCAGTCCAGGACGCGGAGTGGATCCAGGACCATCAAAGTGGGTCCATTCGGAGACGGTCGGCGGCGAGCGAGGGGGGGGGAGTGAGAAAGAGAAGGCCTTCTCAGAAGGCGGCGGGGTTTCTGACAAGCCCTTTGGCCTTGGGAAACTTCCTACGTCGTCGGGGAAGGCTCAGGCCCAGACAACTTTACGGAAGGCCAGAGGCCTTCCGAGCCTTCCGAGAAGGTCCGCCGCCCCCTCTCACTTCCTCCGGGCGCGCCGCCTATATAAAACATTACGCTAGAAGAAACATGCTGTGGGAGGCCATGCCAAGAAACACCCTGCTTGCCTCCTTGGTGCCCTGGGTTCCTTGGGTTTCGACTGTTTCGCCATGGAAGGCGCGACGCTCCCACACCAAAAATGAGTGGACAACCGGGGGTCTCAGGATTGGGTTTCTTGTGGAAGGTTTCTTGTGGAAGGTCCCCGGATGTATGCCTTTCTCGCGCATAGGACCAACATTCGGAGGCCCGCTCAGATGTCTTGGGTCGGCGCTGTACCACCCCGCTCCACGCGCCAGTGGAGGGGGGTCCAGTGCCGGTCCGAGAAGTCGGTGCGGACCTCCGAACGCTTATGTTTATGCTGACGGTTGTTCTTCTAGCTCTTAGGGTGGGGGGTCCAGACATCCAGCGTCGTGTTTTTTCTTCACAAAGGAGCCCCCGAGGTCAAGACCACTTCACCAGCTCTTCGTCCTGAGGTGTTTTACGACGTTCCCAGGCTTGGCGAAGGCCCCTGGAGGCCGAAAATGACGACACACGGTTTGTCGTGACTTCCTTCCCACACGAGAGGGGATCTGTCTAGACCTCCCAGATTGGGTCCGAGTACGTCGATGGGGTCGAAGGATCGCTCCGCACGGCCGATGCATCGGCAATGCGGCTCGATTTGGCGCCCTGCCAGCAGCGCCGATGCATCGGCGATGATCGGCGAGGCGGCGCGATCCTCCGACCCAATCTGGGAGGCCTCCAGGCACCGTCCTGACCCGCCTTCCGAGCTGCGTCCAGCCGCGGGGGAGGAGGAGTGAGGAGTGAGGAGGAGGAGGAGGAGGAGGAGGAGGAGGAGGACCAACACGCAGATTGAATCCCGATGTCTGTGGAGCTGCCTGCTGCGCTATGCAGCGGAGCTCATTTCCTCCAACTCTCTCACCAGCTGGGCCAGCGGGATTGGAGGCTTCAAAACAATGGGCGAGCTCGCGGAACCTTTCGGATGCCTCCTTTCCCCAGCCCGCTGTCGTTGCAGCAAGCGTCCGTTTGTAGGCGGGGAACAATCACTATGAAGGCCTCGGGGTCCCCTGTGTAAACGAGCAGCACTTCCAACACATTAAGATGCTCGAGGGTCTGTCGTCGAGATAGCCGAGAAACATTGGCTTGCGTCCGCGAGGATTGGCCAGCAGCTCGCTATGGTGGGCACACAAGCCAGGGTATTGCTGTTTGCCGCGCCGTTACAAACCGAGGTCCGAGGCGCACCTCTGTCTACAAACAGCGCAAAGCCACCCCTTGCCCCACTTGTGCCACTGGTGCGCCCGCCTGGGATTCACAGACTCGTCCCCAGGAGCCGAAGGGGTCGGAGGAGGAGGGATCGGAGGCAGAGGATCATCCACTTCCCAGGCGGGCCGAGCTGCGGCCGCTCCTACTGGCGGGTTCAAATTCTTCGTTGGCTTCACGAGGCCTCGCGCTCCAGCCTTCGGGGCGACAGCAGGCCAGAGCTGCAAGGCCTCAGTCACGTATCTCATAGATTTCTTTAAAGAGGGCCGCCTGGGCGGCCTGGGCCTCGAGCTCGTTTGTGCTCAACTGGGGGCCCCTGGCAGCAGCTATCTTCGCAAGTTTGTCAGCGGCGTTGTTGCCGTTGGCTCGTCGCCACTCTTCGCTGCCGGGGATCAATGACTCAATATCTACATGCGCTTTGATTTTGTGGAGCCTGGGGCCAAGGGGGGCCTGGCTGGCCCCAGCGAGGACTTTAAAAGCTCCGTAGAAATCCGACCGGGAAAACAGGCCTTTCTGGTGGACGTCTACGGCGTCCTTGTAGTCTACAAATATCTGGGCGCGTGTGTCAGCATTGAGAGCAGCAGCAAACACGGCACAGTGCTCAGCCGCGGGGGAGGTGGGGGGAATGAGGCTGCCCACACGCCCTGTCATATAAGCCGAGACGTCTCCGTGGCCATCTATGGCCACCATCGCCCAACCCGCCAAGTTAAAACATTTCGCCTCTGGTTTAAAGCAGGAGCCGTCTGTGTAAACTTCGTCAACAACAGCTTCCTGTGTCGATAGGGAAGGGTCCCGACTCCAAAAAACAGCCTAGTCGTAGCCAAATCCAGCAGGAGCCCCCGAATCGAATTCTGGTGAAAACTGAAAACCGAAAGCCATGACCTGGTCTGTTAGATTACTTATATGAACAAGCTCGTCCGCGGCGAAGTCTAGTTTATCGCGAAGGCTGGCTGAAACGCTGCATTCTAGCAGTCGGTGCTTTAAGGTGTCCTGTGCAGCACCGCGCTGACATTTGTCATCAACTTTGCAGCCAGCTGCGCGCAATCTATACTGTGTCCAGATACACTGAGTGAGAAAGCTGACGAGCGTTGGCCTGGCCTTCTGAGTGAAACCTTTGCTGTCTATGAGGACTCGAGCTATTGAAACATCGAGGGTCTCCTGAGGATATGTTTCAGGGCGGCT